AAAATTTTCAAATAAAATAAGATAATCTAATTTAAGAAAAAAATAAAAACCTAACGTTTAAGAAATTACACAAAATTTTAAAAATGGTTTGAATGTTGAAAGTTGAGAAGGAGAAGAAATGAAGACCCTTTATCAAATGTGTAAATCTGGAATTATAATGCGATTACATTATTATTACGGTCATTAAAGTGTGGAATTAGAGATAAGAGTTTAGAAAGCTGATGTTGGACGGTCAAGCCATAATCCTCTACTTAAACTTTTTAATGTAATCGCAGGATGATGCTTCTAGTAACTTGTAATTAGGCAATGTGTCAACTACCAATGGCTGCTTCACCTCACATAAGTATGTATGTATGTGTATATATATATATATATATATATATATATATATACATACTTATGTGTATGTATTGTAATATGTGTATGACTTATATACCGTACACTTCACCAAATTTAAGTACCTATCGGGTGACTCATTACCATTATCTGGTTAGTCTACTTAAGTGAGATGTGCTATCGCTGGTGTGCATTAGTGTAAGAACTGAAACGTTTAATCTTCTAAATATAACTTAGTCATAGTATTTGTATTTTTATACTTTATATATTTATATTTATATATATATATACAAGCCAAGACTCCAATAGGTCTATGTCATACTGTATCTAATCAAGAAACACTGCATGACTAAGCTTCTATTATCAGCTTTAATTTATAATTCTTCTGAAATCAGAGATAAGTTAACCAATATAGAACTAATCTAGAAAGATTTATAAGGAGTCTATTAGTCGAACAAGAATTTATCTATTAGATATAATGAAATATGGGCTGCTTTTGTTTAAATATTACTTCTACAACATTTTGAATTCCGTGAACCAGTTCTCCATACACATGCCCAGAGATAAATTAATATAAAGGCTTCTTTCAGTTAATCCTGAAATTAAAATAAATAATCTTTAAGAACCAATTTTAATAACCTATAAGGATAAAATAACCTAAAAGGATCAAATGAACTTAAAACAGGATCAGTTTTTTTTTTAATGTTTTAAATAAAAATATTTAAAACTTCAGGTAATAAATAACTTTAATTAAAATTACCTCTATGCACTAAATTATCTTCTGGCTACGTAAATATCTTTTATTTATTCAGAAATATTACAATCTGTCACAACTAAGGACATTTATAATAGTGTTCAAAGAGCACATTCACACTCTATATACAATAAAAAAAATAATAATACAGAAACTAATAATAATAAAATTAAGTGTATATAAAAAAAAACTAAACTAATCAAAATAACAACTAAAACACTTGAGTACCATACAGTATCCAATTAAATATACAATTGAAATATCTATCTATTTATTTATTAATTTTTTTTTTGTACAAATAAATGAAGTGAAATAATATGGTTTACTTAATCATAAGAGAAATATTTGGATAATTCTACTATAGGATTGGATGGATGGACTATAGGATTTTATGGACATGCTTATACTTAGCTGTTTAAGAACAGAACGGCTGGAAGATTTACAACTATTTGTGTAGAAATAAATAAAGCAGTTATCAAAGTAAATGAAACTAGAAAAAATCGACACGTAAGATCTATAGAAAGCTGTAATAATGTTGATTGCGTGTCTTTATTTTTAGATTAAAAAAATGATTAATAAAAAAAGTTATGTAATAATTGAAATTAATGCTAATTATGACTAAAAAGAAGTGTCCTGTACGAATAATTCGTTTAGTATACGCTGGCCAGTGAATAAACATTTTGAGTTACACGCGAATAAAGTTTACTTGTCTTCATATTTTTTTTTCCTGGAGGGTGTGCTTATTTTTCGAGCCTGAAGGAGGAGATAATCTACAAAATCATTGCTCTATCATTGGATTTGATGAAGACATATATATATATGTATAATCCCAAGTACGGCTAAAAAACATCTTTGAGAAATAATATGTAATGATATCTTAATCCAACTAGTATAGGTACATATGATGACTTGATTATTATCTATTTCTTAATGAAATTTAACATTGTTCTAATATATATTTAAATTTGTAAAATGTTTCCTCAAGCTTTCAAACAGATAAGAGATAAATTAAGGTTTATTTTTAAGCATTGAATCACCACTGAAAGGATGTATTGATCTAGCGATATCTCCTGAACAGGGAAAATTAAAAAGCTAATTAAAATTCCACGCTTAGAAACTTCACCCACGCGTTTAAAATGTCTAATAATAGTCAACAGAGCGCTATTTTCAATCTTATGTATCTAAATGGATGGCTGATTTTCGTAAATTAATTGAAACATTAAATATAGGTCGCCATCGTTGAAGTAACCTCTCCCGTTTTTAAATTGGATAAAAAAAAAAACTTATATAATAAGGTACGATACTTCATTTTTTGATTCACTGCAGCAACTTTGTTGGACCTAGGAATAAGCTCTCAAAGACATTTATTGTTTAATCAAGAAAAGACATAAGTGCAGAAGGTATATTTAAAATAGATAGTCTGCAAAAATCAAAGAGACCATACAATTTTATAACACACTGTTCAATAAAGTGTTACGTGCTATAATTAAACATTATAAACAAACGATATGTTATGTTAACATTTATATATATATATATTATGATATTATGTGCTATTTATTATTTGTAATTTTATGTTATTATGAATAGGTATGTGCATAATTGTATTGTTCTTTAATTAATATCAATAAAATATTATTTTAAAAACTATTATTGTAATATATTGTTTTTTAATTTTGTATGAGCCATATTTAATGTTATGAATGAATGATATTAATGCTAGGTTTGATCTCCGTAACATTTTCCAATCTAAAATTATTTATAATATCGATATATTTATTTATATAAATATTTTATTTGACAAATCAAATAAACAATTCAATACTTACAAAATATAAAAGCAAAAGAAATATTGCCCATGAAGACGAGTTATTAGCCCAAAACGGCTATAGAGTATAACTGATAAAACAATTAAAAACGAAGAGGTTATTTTTAAAAAAACAAAAAAAATTTACTTAATAACTCTCTCTCATCGAATAATAAATGGAAAACAATCAAACTTATTATCCCTTATAGGCAAACTCATTCGAATAGCCCCTAAGTCGATTTGAAAGACAATTGAATGTTTGCCGTGGGAAAGCAATTAAAAATAAAGTATGACATAGAAAGATATTACAGAACGATGATTTAAAAACAATTAATTGTAAATGAACACCGTCGTTTAGGCTGTATTAAAAAATATATATATATATTTATTTGTTTTACTGACACATGTTTAGGATAATTTAAAAAAAAAATTAAAACCAATTGAACTAATTATGTATACTGTATATCGAAAGTCTGCATTTTATCAACATGGCAGTGGTGGGAGAATGATACAGAGTTTAAGACCGCAAAAGGCACATATTTTACACGAACTCAATTTATCACAGAGTTTTAACCCAAATACCATAAGCTTTATTGATGCGCAAAACCTTTAAAACAATTTAAAAAATACAGGAGTCGGTAGAAAAAAATTGAGGCCTTCAAATATTTTTCAAACAACTCTTTTGTTTTCATATACAAATTTTAAACTCCCTCAATCAGAAGAGTCTGAAGAGATGTGCAAATACTTAAAAACCGGACAATATTGCTGATAGCGTATAAATATTTCGACTGAAATTGGAAGTTCGCTCAGAAAATAACACTGTATACAATATATCAATTCATTTGGTTAACACAGAGCTGCTAGAAGTGACTAAATCTATGAGAGGAGGGTGGTGTAATATTTCAAAATATAGCAGTTTGGCCTATAGAACCTCGTTGTTTTAACAATTTGGGGATGTAGGTCACGCTAAACGGCTCAATATTTTTGAAGGCCACCTTTTTTCTAGACTGTGTTCTCAAGTTATCATAAGATTCAAGTGGAAAGCAAATGGGTATTAACGAGTTTTTAGTACCTAATCAAACAGACAAAGTTTGCCGACCTCAAGATTGAATACGCCCCAATTCCGAAAATTTTCATAAATAAAATATTTGTAAGTTATGATGAGATGAAGCTTTTTACGAAGTTTCAACCGGGTCTTAATAATTTGATAAACAGGGGTCTGTACCACGGACTGACATTAGCTTGTTCATTATATTACTGGATATTTATAGATATATTACTTTAGCTTGTATATTATAATACTGCGTGATTAGCCAGCGATATTATTCCAATAGCAGTAATATACAAGCAGGACCTGAGACTTTAGGAAGATGTAAAACTGGTGGGTTTAGATGAGTATAGACTTTGTAATGGTCTAATAAGAAATAAAGACTATTTGATGATTAAGATAGTTGTGAAATAATAATAATTATTTACAGTCCAAATTGTAAAGATTAGATACAAATTCAGAGGAAATCAAATTCGGAGGAATTTAATGGTCAATGAAACACCATAGCTCAAGCCAGTAGGTCTAAATTAAGTAATGTTAATGAACGTTCCATAATTGAATAGAAATGTTTAATTAACAAATTTTTATGTAGCCGGAAATGAGAAGTTCATTACACTTTCAGGTTTTATGGGCAATCCTTTATTTCCCTTTATTTAATCTCATAGATCTGTTCAATAGGTGAAGACTACTTAAGGCAAGTAGGAATGACAATTGAAGGTTTACAAATAAATCTATCTAATAAATTACAGAAAAATCATACTTAGTTACAGGTATTCTGATTTATTTATTAATGTTTTCATCGAAGCGGTTTCAATCAGCTCAAAATCACCAATAAACCAACCAAAGTTCTACTGAATCTGCAAGTAATAACAAATTGTGGCTAACTTTAACAGCCGAAGGTTCGATAATGATGGAAACGTATTTAAAAATAAAGTTGAAGCTGTAGTAGAGAACGAAACCGCAAATAAAATGGCATGTCTGAGTAATATCTGATTTGAGGGAAATAGATTCGACCTGAGGGGGGGAGGAGAGCAGCACGTGGGGGCGTTGACCCCATGACGTCACCAACCCCGAAGACCAGCCCCCGAGGACCTAATGACGTGGAACATGCGATAACCCACCCTCAGCGTCTCAAGGTTCGGTATCTGCGGTCTGCCGTACCTCGCTCCATCATAGGGGGTGGGTTCCCACTACGGCCGGGGTATTATATTAACGTCTGATCCAATATGGCAATTTATCTCCATTGCACCAAAAGTGTCTGAAAGTACAATAAATATAACTTCTTGCGTCAGTCCTATAATCAGTACTATAACAATTTATCTATACTCTCTCTTTACCATTATCTCTTTGCATATCTTTAAAAAAAAAAGTATTAAATAAATAAAATGTAAATATGAGAAAAGAGGTATTCCCTGAGCATGGCGAAAAGGATCGCAACTGATACTATCGGTTTTATGTAAAGATGATGAATTCAACAAATTACGTATTTCGGAAGTTCGCCTTTTTACATTCGTGATATCAAGAACTACTAATCACCTTACAGATACAATCATGTAACAATAGGGAAAACATTACTTTCAAATATGTCTTGTAACATATGATTTACTAAAAAGAACTGAATTAACTCTGTTTACATAACACTGACAATTTTTGTGATTTCCGAAACAAAAAAGTATCCACCCTTGGTGAAAATTTTATATGAAAATAATAATTTGTGGTGCGACATACAAATCTCAATTTTAGTTCTCTGAAAGAAATTATTTGATCCCACTTTGCTCCTTCGGTAGGAACAAAATGTTTCAATATTGTACTCATACCGAAGCTACATGCCAAATATAATTTTTTTGTCTAAATCGGAAAGGAGTATTATAACACACACGAAACTTGGTATGTTGCCAGATTCGGTCAGAAAACAAAAATAAAGCATGTTTATACATATTATACAGATCCGGATTACATTAAATAACTTATTATAGATAAATAAAATTGCTCTTCGTTTTTCACACCTAGAAAACCCTAAAATAAGAATTTTCATAGCAATTAAAATATAAAATATTTTTACACTCAACTATCGCCAAAGGCGAAACCATTTATTTATTTTTTTTTTTCATGAACCAAAAAAAATATTTAAATTATATTTCATCACCTTTAGCCTCTGCCGTAAACCTATGACATCTTGCCCTACAGCATCCTTTGATAATATCCCTCTTATCCCTGTTGAACAAATCCGATAGCATGGACAAACGTCTAACTTGGAATACTCAAACCAGACTGAAACGACAAGAAACAGCTCGACGTTTCCGACTACTCCAGCACTTACTAGACAAACGCTCTAAGCTCCCAGTCACTTACAAAAGACTCATATACATGACTACAATAAGACCTATTTGGACTTACGGAGTTGAGCTTTGGGTCTCCACTAAGCCACCGAATTCCTCTCGTATCCAATACTTACAATCCAAAATCCTTCGTAAAATCCTCAATACTCCTTACTTTGTCACAGTAAAATAATCCATAAAGACCTTAATGTTCCTTATGTTTCCGATTTGGCCCAATCCAGATACCAATCCTTCCATAATAAACTTCAGTACCATCCGAATCCTCTCGTCTGAAAAGAAGATGACATCGAGATCTCCTATTGTAAATACATTTTTTTTTAGGGTGCTACCGGTGGGTAGTTTCCCCACAAGTGACTTTATGTTATTATTTTCTGTTATCAAATTGAATAATGTATTTCATTTATTAATACAGTTGTAAATATCATCAATAAATAAAAAATATATATATACTTTATATTAAGTTATCAAAATGTCAACATGAGCCCACCTATCCACAAAAAAATTACAAGGGATTTAGAGCCATATAAACTACATTAAAGGACACAAACCAGACCCCCGTAAACAAATTAGGACTGGAGATAAATAATAACAACGTTTGAGAAGTTTTTCTTTATTTATTCCCTATAAAAGCACTAGATTTTTGAAATTTTAAATTATTCATAAAAGTCATTTATATATGGCAGAGCAACACTTCAACTATCCAACAGTTGTAGCAACCTTGAATTAAGAGAAACTCCTGAGGAGTTGTGAATGATTTAGTGAACGACATCAACAAATAAATTCTCCCCAAAATTTTATCTTTTTAAATTAAAACAATTTTGTATTTAAAACGACGCTATAAATGAATTTGAATTTTTTTTTTTATAACAAAATTGAATTGGTCTAGTTTACTAGAAGCGTGGTTTTTCGTAATTTATTATACATTTGTTTTAGTTTAATACAATACAATGTCTTCTTATTTTATACACAAAACAATATATCGATTGATATATTATAATCAATAAATCCCGACAGAGCAATGGCAAAAAAACAATAATATGATATAATACTCAAATTTTATATTCTCTTTTTTTATAAATTCCTAGGGCACATTGGCAAGTACCCTCAGACATGAGTATAATACTTTTCGATCTAGTATCACCAAAAAAAGTTTCATTGAAATCGGTGAACACAAGTCCGTAGCCTCCCCCTGAGTTTAATAAAATAATGAATAAATTTAAGAGACAGGAAGTGGGTGGCAACTAAATTTGAAATATCCCGAATCCTTAAAACAGTTCAGGCCACGGCGTGGCCGAAAACCTGACTGCCATTAACTAGGGGGATAGGACACCAGAGAACCACAAGCGTTTCCCTTATCGGGCTTCTGATTGGCTGGATACGTCATCCACACGTGCGATCACACGTGTCCTCTGACATCACCCCACCTATCATAACAGACACTCAGCAGATAGTCAGGGAGGCGTCACTGCAGTTCCGGATCATTTTTTTTTTCTACTGATGGTTTAGCATTATCAATGAAAACATAAGCAGCAATTTCCGGCATTAAAGGTTGTTTCGTTATTATGACAAACTGCCTCATTATTACTCTGAAAATAACCATTTATGAGATGGATCTATATATATAGATGGCTATTATTTTAAAATTATAATCAGTATTTGTTGTCTAAATATTATTTAATAGGCTTGTCGATTTTACCAGACGTTTTTTAAGATACTGTTTATATTTGTATATCTTTTTTAAATTTTAAAAAAGATTTTGTAAATCTTTTTTAAATTTAAAAAAAATTTTAAATTTTTTTAAATTTAATTGTACTAATTATATACATATTTATTTTATATTTTTAATTCCGGGTGTACTATTATTTGTATACTGTCCCTTATCTTACGTCTATTTTCCATTGCTTTATCTTGTTTTAATCCTATTTATATCTTATTTTTCCATTTTAATTTTTAGTGCTGATGAGGACCCACATCGCCGAACACCATTAAACCAATTTTTCTTATTTAAGAAATTGTTTTTTTAATTTATCAAAATTTATCGGAATCAATATAGACTTACATCGCATAGAAATGTATGCAATATATAAAATAAAGGAAAACTCGAAAATACTCATTTGCTTTCCACTTGGATAGTATGATAATTTCATAAAAAATCGAGGTACATAAATATCGGACTGTTTGGCGTGACCTACACCTCCAGATTGAAAATTGAAAATTCCGAGAATTTTCGTAAATAAAATATTTGTAGGTTACGATGAGATGAAGCTATTCACGAAGTTTCAGCCGTTAATAATTTGATACAAATGGTTCTGTGCCACGGATTATTAACAGATTTGATATAAGTCTAAGAAAAAAAATGATACGTAAAGATGTATTTTATTTTAAAACATTAATCGAAAATTGTGAGTTTTATGGTTTCTGCACACATTTGCATTTCTAGTGTCCGCCATTACTACCGGCTTTAAAATATTCTTGGCCTGGTTTTGAAACCCGATAACCTACGAGAGGGATAGCGTAGATCTCACTAAAGAATACCTCGGAAAAATATTTAATTCAGGCATCAAAGGATTGTCAGAAGTCGAGTGAAAAGAAAGAGGCACATAGTTACTTATTTCGGTAAAACTTATTGATATAACATATATTAGGCTCTTTAAAAGTTTATTTACATGGAATTTGAATAAGAACGAAAGATTCTAAATTTGAATTAAAAAACAATACATAATTGCAGTTTTTTTTAAAGACAAATAACGTATTTCTACATCCTTGCAGATATTTAGAATGGGCTATTTTGTTTTTTTTAACATCAGTCGTGAAATCGCTAGTCAGATAAAGCAGGAGAGTATGTCACTGTTTTCCGAATAATGAGAAGAATATTTAAATAATGTTTATCTAAGCGATAACTTATTAAACTGAAACCACGACGATTTTTGTTTTAGACTAATGCATTAAAAAAAAAGAAAAAAGTTTTAATGACGACTTTTTTCCACTTCAAGGCCTTATAAGTGACTAAAAGAAAAATACAGACGGGAGACCTAGCAAATAAGGAAACCTACCCGGACAGGATACCAAACAAGTTACTAATAGCTATAGCCAGGAGCTGAGCTACGGGAGAAGTGGCCGATCCTCCTTGAGAGGTCAGAACCTGGAGGTTGGAGGATAATTAGAGACTAGCGGTAGTGAGGACCTGAGTCAGCAGTGTAAGGACCATCGGGAGTCGGCCTTGTTTGGAAAACGTCCTTGTTTGGAATCCGGAGAGCCGTCAGTCGGGGAAAGGCGACGGACGGAGTCGTCAAGGAAGTCATGTACCAACTATATGCTGTAAGTCAGGCTGATAGTTACCTGATAGTTATCCATAAATTTACATCCTGTGGATATGTGCTGCGATAGATTTCTACCTTATCGCATTATCTAAAGATGGACATTATTAACTGCATCCTACCTTGTAAATAGGATTTTAGTTACGCAGGAATTCCCAGGTTTGATTATACCGGCAGCAAATTTTATGATTCACAGTGTCATTTTATTATTACTTCATAACGATCGCCTCTTCTACAAAGTATTTAACCAATACATGAATCTTTACATTTTAAAAGAATGTAATATCTGAGACATTGTGACCTCTATCGGAATTCACATCTACATGTCTTTATAGGAATAAAAAATAAACGAAAAGACATATAGGTACGAGTTAAAGTACAAATAAATTCTAAACAAGTTGAGCTGTTCTTATAATGTATTGTTATTACTGGATAAAACTAATTTATCACCATATATGGTATATCTTTAAAGGTTCTCTCTGTATACCTTCTGCATGTCGGTAAGAACACATCTCGCGCGACCAAACATTGGGCTAGAGCGCCATAAATTATTTACGAGGTACTGTGTGGTAAGTGCTAACTCCTCTCGTTAAATCCACGATCTGTCCTGGTATAAGCTACCCTTTACGGCGTAGGCTCTTCAGAAGTTGTTCTTCAAAATAATTTGTAGTTTGCCTCTCTCTTTGACATTTATCAATTTTAAAAGCTAGTCCGCAGTTTCCTCCTGTTAGTAGTAAGTGTAGATGTCAGTTGTGGGACAATCGTGTATGGTTTTTTCGCAGTCATCATGTTTATAGGTACATTTGGCGGGGCAATTGCAGACTAATGACCGATTATACAATACCCCTTGAAATTGATCTTTCTAATGTATAATCCCAAATATCTTGATTATGTTCAGTGATAATGGTCACATAATTTTTATGGTTAAACAGCTGTATGTGTCTGTTTAAACATTCATTGATTAAACACAGTTGAGTGTTTAAACGATGTGCAGCTGAGTTGTACAGCCAACAATTCAAATAGAAGTTTTTTCAAAATTGATTGTAATATTCACATTTCACTTATAGTTGCAGTGTGAAAAAAAAATATACTTTAATTGATTGTCTAATTAATGAGCACTATATTACACTTGGTTATTTTTTTTTAATTCATGTCCTTGGTCATTCTCAGCCTTCCGTTTAAAAAATATAATGACATCAGATCAAGATAACTATTGCCAGGAGAAGTGTGAAGGTTGAATACCGATGACGTATTACGTGATAATTGTATTAGCACGTAACATGACACAACTAGTTCCTAACACGACGTAAGTATAGGATTTGTAATGTTTTATCAGTGCTGTCAGCTTCCTGAGAAGACACACTACTCTAGGAAGGACCATGTTGACAGAACAAAGCTCTTTGATCAGAGCGAACAGACAGTGGCAGCGTGCATCTGATCGCAGTACCTCTGAGGGCGGAGGGTGGAGCCTTCAGTTTACGACCGTGCCAAAGGGAGCGGGAGGTTTAGGGCCTATCAACATCAGCTGAATGCAAATTGGACATTACAGCGCAATCCCTTACGGCTGTCGGCTAATTCTTATTCTAATGGCAAGTAACCCTCCAGGCTAATCTTCTTACCATGAAGACGACGTAATGAAGCATGAATGTGGTAGCAAGTCATATCATTAAAATTAACAGTTGTCTTGAATAAAAACTAAAAGGAAATGAAATAAACAAGTATACCTATGCGAGAACTCTGGCATTAATTATCTTTTTTTTCCACATAAATTTGAAGTAAAAACTATATTATGAAAACATGTTTGTTTCATACGTGCCGATTTCTATGGGGACGGTAGTGAAACCTCCCTCCCACTCACACCCCCCTTCCCCCCAAATGTTTGAAACGGTCAATATTTTGAATAGCATGAAATAACTTAAAATCTTATTTCTGTTAACAAATGTGTAGCAATAAATAAGTTCACTATTAATTTTGTAAGCACGCAGTCTGTAATTAGTCTCAAACCATGGCGATAACGAGCGTTTAAAAGTAGAGTTTGGCTTGGCTCGCACATGTTTCTTTGAGTGATTCCAGTTAAATTAATGCGACTTGATCTCTCATACCTTTGATTTTTTTTTTTTACAATTCTGTATAGAGTGGATAACTCGTGTATACTAAGTTTTAAACAAGACATATTAACGAAGGTATTGTCAATAAATTATCAATCAAAGACACAGACGTATATTCAATCAATTCTTTTTGATTGAAGGACTGTTTTTTTTTTTAATATATATATTTTTTCGTCTTCAGATCTTCATCAACATCACTCATGAACGTGACAATAACCACATACATTGTAATTGTTTAGAAAAATTTTAGGCATGAAGAATAATAAACAACAGCTACTCTTCCTGGTCTTTGTTTACTTCCTTCCTCAATTCATGGATGATCTCTCATCCAGCTTCTTTTCGCCTCCTGATGTGCATATCAGGTGTGGCCATGTCATTAATAAGTACGTTGTTGTGTCCCTGTAGTTCAATATAAAATGTAAAGATTGCATATTGAGTTGGTCGATAGTTGGTTGTCGTAAGTCGTTATGTATAGTTTTGTTCTTTACGTAGCAGGGTGCTGCTGTTATCAGTCTTAAAATTTTGGATGGAAAGTGTTTCTTTTTTTGCCGAAGCGTAAATCTGTGAGGCTTATGTCTATACGGGTTGGGGAAGGTAAATATATGTTTTTAGTTTTTGTATGATTTTCAAATTTGGTTTGGAAAAAAAAAACGAGTATAATATTTTCAGTCACTTCTTTATTGTCTGTCTTTTTATTTAGACGTGTAGACCACAGGTCATCCATTTTAACTTTTTTATTTTAATTTCTAATCACAAAAAAATATACAATAATAAGACTTTATCATCAAATATGCAAAATAAAATTTGACTAATCGCCACTTCTCGTACATTAAGTGCACTGTTTCGTAAAGAATGCTAACAAAATATGCAAAAGCATGCAAATCCGGATCCTGCTAAGGCCGTGGAGAGAAACAAGGGGCCCCAGGAATAATTTGTCCGGGCCCCTAAAATATATTAATTTATCAGTAAAATTTAACAGAAGCCTTCTATAATTATGCATCTAAAATATTATGTAAATATATTATACAATATATGTAATTTTATATATACTTCATTTTAATTGGAATTTAGGACCTGCCTGACCCCTCCTCCCCTCCCTTTCCTCTCGGGCCTGCTTATAGCAAAACAGTACCCACTGAACTCTTATAATTTATTTTTCATACAGATTATAAAAGAATAGCTACAATGCTGTCACGTCATTTTCTTGTTATGTAGATGTATATAAATATATTTTCTTTTCCTTCACCTAAAGTACTCTAAGTAACCAAGATCAACAATACTTGTTCGAAATAAGGTATGCGTCACTCATCAACGTACTCCGTCATTTTCGTGACTCAAGTAACAATTGCGTCCATGATTAAACGGATAATTGTCACATTTCCCGGTCATGACCTATGTTCCACAGTAATTTTAACAATTAATTAATATATTTAATTATATAAACAGACGACTGGACTCCATTTTATTTTAACGGTTGTATTTATCATTATTAAAAATAAACCACTAAATAAACGTATGAAAATATATACTAAGCTTTTAGCTATAATTATTTTTAAAATTACATAAATGGAATAAAGTTTAGTATTACATTAAAAAAAAATGCAAGAAAATGATCAATAATAAAGTATGCAACATTGAATTGAAATATAGCATCAATATTACTATTTCATAATTAACATTGATGATTCCTAAATTGTAATTGGGAAGGTCATCATGACTTATGAGTGCGTGAGTAAGGTTTTCGTCAAAACTTTAATATATCTAAATTTACAGGACGTTCTAAAGTCAATTAGCACACACCTTAAAATTCACCATTGTTGGAATCCAGGGATAAAACTAGGTGCAATACTATTGTTGTCCACCTGATAGTTCAGCCATTGAATGCCCAAAAAGGGGGTGTAAAGTGCGTGAGCAGGGCCTTAAGCGATTCCTTCAGAAACTTGTTCAGGGTGCTTAGGGCATGAACATATCAAGTTGAAAAAATTTAAAAATTCATTCAAAGATTTAGAAAAATGAATGTACTTTCCAGATGTTTTATTTCATGGCATTTTTCATTACTATGGCCGTTTATTTACGAACGAGGTTTCATTTTCAACATTAGTTTTAAGGAATTGAATAAATTTGCTTTATCAGTGTTTTTATTGCCTAAACAATTATTTTTTAACATTTTTTAATGTTTTATTATTTTCTGACTATTCTGCTTTAATAAAATGGCAACTATGACGAAATTAAACCAAATGCTGAATCTCAGTGACCGAAAAACTAACTCAAGTCAAAGTTGTTAATAGGTCATGTTGGGACAGTGCGTTCACTTTTTTTGTGTGAACATTGGATTTTTTTTAATAAATTATTGAAAATAGTGATAACATAGAGGATTATAATTGTATGTATTTAATATAACAAAATAGAATACAATTATCATAGGACTTTTATTATCTGAAAAATATGACACTCAATTTTTCAATCAATATCATTTTGTCTACTTTATTTAAAAATTAAATTTAAAGTGTGACAACATATATTATTAGACACGCGAACAAATCTTACATTACATCTTACACGATATGAAGGAATGTTTGATGAAAAATGTGAGACAAAATGATTTTTATAGTAAATGTAATCTTTTTCCGAGCGTGCAGCTGGAAAACTGTTTAGAATTTAGATACAACCTATAGAATAAAAGGTATAGATAATTTTATAAACCTTAACTTACTACACGAAAATTTTCTCCTGGGATGCACCGTTTTCGAGATATAAGCGAAAATCGAAAAATTGTGACCTTTTTTCCCATCTCCCCTCCCCGGCTCACTACTTAGACGTCGGGCCTTTTGATATGTTCATACCCTAAGCATCCTGAACAAGTTTCTAAAGGAATCGTTTAGGTCCATCCGCACGCACTCTATGACACCTTTATTGACTGGACTATGATGGTTTTTTTTAGCTCTTTTCAACTGTTCCCCTCCTTCAGTTTCACGAGCGCACATAACTCTGGAATTTTCACTGAAATGGTGTTTTATAATGATTTCTCATAGGAATTCAAATTCGAAACCAATGTTAAATTATTATACATACTGATCAAACTTAAAAATAATTTTTTTTTAGATAATTCATCATTCTGCTCCGTCAGCATTATTGAAAGAGACTATTTGTATTTAAAAAGGTGGAATAAAGTTAAGCATGCTTGAAAAGTCCAATTCGAAAATCTGCAAGACGGATTGGAATGAAACGTAAATAAAAGCCCTAAATCCTGATTGGGATGGTAATTATGACTTATTGAGAAGACAGCGGGGTCCCACAAGGACGAATGATGTGAACATTGATCCCTGTTACTATTTAGGAACACGGTCCCACAGCGCCTGAGCCGCGGCTGACTCACCGCTCGATAGGTCCTTGACAGAGCTGGAGCTTCTTCCGCTCCTATTTATTGTATATTTAAAATAGCTATCGGTATATATATAGTTATTTATTTTTAATCGATAAAAATAAGATGTTGATCGTTATATTAGGATATGAAGAGTATATAGCTCACTATATGAAGAGCTTATAACTCACTCACACAATATAATCAAGAACTACAATGTGTGTTTTTATACTTATTAGTATTCCTTTAAGCAGATTTAAAAATGAAAACGAAAGTCAATTAAGTAAGAAGAAAAAACAATTCGCACATTTGTCCAAAGAAATAATTAATTTGTCATATTATCAACAATACTTAGTAATCAGCAGCGGATTCCGAATTTCATTTTGGAGAGTTATTTTCTTTTAATAGCTCTAATTACTCATGACGAAAAAATTACAGAAATTACAGAAACAAAAATGACATTAAGAAATTTTTGTTTCTTGCCATGTGCTTAGATCCAGTAGCTGAAGTAAGTATGCAATAATTTAAAAAAAAATACTGTGATGGTTGAAATATTTACCTCAGATCACTCACGGAAACAATTATGGATCAATGAAAAAAATATTATTTTGGGGGGCTTCCCCCCGAAAGGCCCCCCTTCACTTCTCTTAGATCCGCCACTGTACCTAATAACTAAATTAATTTTTTTTTAGAATTGATCTGATTCAAGTCTATATTTTTTAAATTTTTATATATATATTCGATAAATCTAAACGCTTTTTTACTTTCGCTTACCTATATATGAAATATACAATAAGTGAAACCAACATAATAGTAAAAAATTGTGTTTGTAGATGTACAGCCTGACTCAAAACAAAAGGTACAATGAAACCACTATTATGTATTTAAGGTATCCATATACCTGGGATGTTACTGCAATTTTTACGCCTAAAATTCACAGTAAAATTCACACATCATATCATCGAATTTAAACATTTTTACATTTTTCTCGAAAACGACTCTTAAGATTTTGATTGAACTCATAAAACTAAAGTAAAATCAAAGAAATGCCAAATTTTCA